AACAACAACAACAACAACAACAACAAACAAACAAGAAAATACAAATTTTTCAATTTGTGACAGACAGACAGAGACAAAGTGACGTAGTGAAACTGAAATAATAATTGTATAAAAATAAAAAAAGAGGGATTCTTTTTACATATGACGGACACTCGAACCATGAACACTTCAAGGTTTTTTTGACTTTTTTTATCCAATCACAGCTCTCTGTAGAAACAAATGAATTTTTAGGCGCCATCCAATCACAACAAACGGAGGAAAATCTTTAGATGTTTTCTTTTTAGTTCACTACGTGTGAACTAACTACTGCTAGACTGCTGAAGCACAAAGTGCAAACTTTCAATAATTTACCGAAATAAAACAGAAATATCGTTAATGACGAAGTAGCTGTTACGAAATCAAATACTGTCAGTGATCGTACTGTCCGAGAGTTCAATACATCTCACTCCCGAAATAGAATCAGTAATAATTCTTAATTAAGTTTCGATGTCAAATAAAATCGTAGTCCTTCCCTGGGATCTGAACTCGCTCAGGCTCAACTCGCACTGTGGGAAATCCTCTATAACAGCTTCTCTGGGCTTTCGCCTTGACACCTGTACCGTGATTAACACACACTTTTATACAACAGTAAAAGCCGACCAGAATTTAGATATCATTATAGATGCGATGGATGTGAAACTACGTTTTATTGCATACACTAAAGCTATTTATAATCGGTTAACAAGATGTTCTTTTTACATTATTTTTACATTATTTTTTATTTCCCTCTTTTCCCCTTTCCTTTCGGACTTTTTGGTGCTGTTCCACTATCCGCCAAGGAAATACCAGTCTTCTTACTGATTTCTTCGTCTTTTGCTTTGATTTGGAGGTCTACGCTATTTTTTAGCTGAAACATAGAAAGGGAAAAGTCTAAGAATTAAACTGAGTAGAAACAAGAGTGGCATCGCATGAACAGTTTCTCCGGTTTTTGATCTTTCCAAAAGTACCTATAAGGAGATAAATAGACGACTGGAACTAACAGGTCACGTAACACTATACCTCTCTTAAAACGAGCAGTTTTGTCAAAATAAAAAAACAGAAATGAAAAGAGTATCTCGGCATTAGTAGGGAGGCGGAGTTTCAGCTCATAATAAGCGAAACAGAAGAAATGGCATTAGATATAAAATTGAATGTTTTATACTAGTAAGGATTTGTATGGGAAAATGTGCTGGATGGCATTAATGCTTTTTCTTCCATTTCGACCTGAAACTTCGCCCTTTTACTAAATTTGAGGTGCTGTATTCATTTCTGGAGTTCATTTTGACACATTTGCTCGTTAAGGGGGATGGGGTCACGTGACCTGTTAGTGCAAGCCGTCTATTAATTGGCCCCCAAAATAATAGAAAAATTGAAGAAAACAAAAGGAGCGCAAAAACAAGTTTTATTCACTATATTTTTGCTCGATTTTCCCCGTTCGCTTTCCTTGCATTCTCCAGCACACCATCTTATAAAAAATGAAGAAAGACGTTTTTTTTCTCTCCCCCGAACTTATGTCCCTGTGTTCGGACGAAAAATGGTAAAGTAAAATGAAAAAAGTGGAAGGATGGAAAATAAATCGTTTTCACTTGGCCATGTATTTTTCAAGGTATTTTCTTAATTAGCTGTTGAAAGACCATTACGATAGATTGACCACAACCAGTACAATAGAGTGACCGACAACGTGTTTCTGTGGTCTTCCTTTGAAAGCATTATACCACTGCGGAAGAGTATGGGTAAAGGGAAATGGAAAAAAAGGAATAAAAGACAGAAGAAATAGAAGAAAAAAATCATTTTATTACCTGTTCAACTTGTTCCTGAAGAACTGTAGAGATCATGGTTTTTAATTCTTTGACAGCAGGGGTTTCTGTGATAAAAGAAACAAATTATGATGTGATGAAGGCGATAGATAAATATTGTTTTACCCATTAATGAATGTCAGTTACCATCCAAATCCTCAAATTTGATAGACCTGATTCAGCCTAGGCATAATGACCATTTCAGACCTTGTGTCATCCCCTTGAATTGCATAAATCCAATCTATTTATAATATATCTTCTCAAGTTTTATCCAGTAATAAACAAAGAAATAATTTTTTAATTTCTATTTTCTAAGAGAGCACGAATTTGTTTAAATTAATGCACACGCACTTATGCCATGGTTTGATTGCTTTTTTCTTTGTCAATTGTAACGTTTTTCATTTCCCTGAGGATGGCCGAGTAGGCCGAAAGCTCAGATTATGTGTATTAAATTTATGGTTGATAAGACAAATAATTATGAATGTAACAACAACCAACAAAGAACTATTTGAAAGAAATAATATTCAAGGGCAGAAATAATGGCTGGAAAGGAACAACAGTACCCAGGCTGAATGGGTGTTTATTTTCTAGGCATTGCTCAGACCAGCTAACATTATGCAATCATTATTCAGTTATGTCCAAACCTTCAATTTCTGGTTCTGCAGCCACCTCTGCTTCTTCTCCCTCCTCCTCTTTCTTTTCCTCTGTCATCTTTTCATCCTCTTCACCAACTAGCACAAAGGAAAATGGTTTAATAATAATGTACAAAAATATCATTAATTTAAAAGCGGTTAAATTTTGTAACAGCAGTAACGTGCAGTCTTAAAATCTGAAGGCAAGGGTGGCATGGTGATAAAGAGATCACCTGTCACCAGTGTGAGTCCTATTGGTTGGGTCACTGGTTCCGAATTACTGTAGATGACACAAATAAATTGACTTTGTGTGATCTGTCGTTTTCTCCTTTATCACGAGGTACTTTTCAGATTCTCAGATTTTTCACACTTCATAAAAGAATAGCATGTGAGTAATGAGAGTAGTATGCATAGAAATATTGCATATTATGCACATGTAATAGTGGCAGGTGTGAGTGAAAGTATGCAAAATTAAACACTACTGGCATATAAAAAGGGTTTAAACTCAAGAGCATTTGCTTAGTACCTTCGGATGGAGGTGGAGTGGCTGGTAGTCCAATATAATCTATTGCAAGATCAAGCCGAACCTGAAAAGCATTACAACAAATATTTTTATTAGCTCTTGCCATGATGGCATTGATGACGGGGACCCTCCTAAACAGTGGCAACAGTGAGGGGGAAGTGGGAGTCGCCTCCCTCAAAGCTGTGGACATGGAAGAAAACCTTAAATATAAAACATGTATTTTGGCATGTGTACACGTCTCATTGGCATAGCGAGAGTACCAGAGTTGGAGGGGCAAGCACAGGTGTTTTGAGTGGGGGAGGGGTAAAGGCCAAACTGTCAGTTTCTGGAAGACCACCTACTAGATGAAGGAATTCAACTAATTAGTTAAAACATTTTAATCCTTCAGGTACTAACCTTAGGTGTAAAAGCATACTTATAGAGCTTGTAATGTCGAAAGTACCTGGATCAAGCAAAATAGAATACAGCCTGTTCATAAAGTGCTCGCTTGAAAACATATCAAGGTATAAACAAAGAAACTTGATTAATGTGCAATTACAAAAAGTGGCTTTAATGTAAAAGCTCCATAAATTAACTTACGTATTGACAATGTAAGTTGTGATGTTTTTTACTTGATCTGTGGAGAACAAGGCAATGCTGAAGGGTGGCCTCTGAGAAAAGAAATGTTCAATGGACTCTTTTAGCTTGTATGCATGTATCATTCCCTAAAGATATTAGATACTACTTAAACCAAGGGAGCACATTAAAATTTTGGTTTGTGTAAGGAAAGGTATTGTTCTTGGTTGATCTATCTAGCGCGCGCAATCCATCATGTGACAGGCGTTCCTCGTAGTGTTTTGGTTTCGGCCGATCCGAATGGCCTACGATCGTGTAAGGAAGGAAGAAATTCATCGGTTTTCAGAGTAAATTCGCTAGCCTGACTAAAGCAAGGAACGCCTGCCATAAAGTGTAGCGCGCGGACATAAACAAGCACTACAAGGAACGCCTGTCATATCTTAGATTACGTACGATAAAATCCAAGATAAACCAACACAATCAAAATTTTAACGTGCTCCCTTGCTTAAACAAAGATGATTATTCCCAAAAGAATGGCATTTGCTCTGAAATGGGAAAACTTTATGCCCCAAGCTAAACATTGAATATTTTAGATTTTTTTGAGCTGATTTGACAATCTGTACAGTACCTTAATGCTATGACAGAGTATAAGATCTTTAGTGTATTCAAAGACAGGCTTGACATTGCCAAATGGTGTATCTGAAAGCAACACAGTAGTGGATTCATATTTTTTCTTCAAAGTACCATTAATATCTGGGGTGTCGGACACTGATTTCCATTAAATTATCCCTACATAAGACTGTCAACGATTGGGGATTTGCACATATGATGGAATATGACCCAACTCCTTTAAGTGGCTAGTTACAACAACACAAAAATGCAAGGTCAAACCTTTGATGATTCATGATTCGTTAATGTGCTTCCTTCATGACACATGAATTTTAGAAAAATTGAAGCATGTGAAATGTGATGCTGACCCCCCTAGTGCCACCCTGTTATGCCTTTGTGCGACCCGACTTGCATTTGTGCAAGAAGGTTGATAAATACCTATTGGAGCATGATAATTATAATCTTGGTATTATCCAAATACATACCAATAGCCATTTCATGAATACACTTGATAATAGAAAAAAATGCTGAGATCTGTTCCTTCGTGAAGTTATTGTCTTTCGCAAATATGAAAAACGTTAAGAATGATACTCTATTTACAACAAGAAAAATGATTGCATAGTGCCAATCACCTATAGTGTCTTGGGTTTGATTCCTTGACTTGGCTCAGCATCACACATGAGTACAATATGTTGAGATATCCATCTTTGCAGTAGATGACGACTAGTTTTAGAACTAGCTTGGACTGCGTCAGTGTCTTTTAGTTTAACCAAATGTTTCGTAGTAGATAATTTTATCACCATAGGTACAAAAGATACATAGTAGCGGTAGTAGACTGACGTTTCGGATGTTAGGTCTTCATCGAAATGTCAGTCTACTATCTTTAGTACCTACGGTGATAAAATTATTTACTACAACACATCTTTGCAATAGTTTGCAAAGTTGATAGGATTTTTTAGCTTTCAAACTAAAAACTGTCATTATTTATGAGTATTTTTTGAACAATGCTTGAAAATAAATGACAATAGCTACTTATTATCTACAGTGTATGATGAGTGAACATTTCTGTTGCAAAAGGATATTGAATGGAATAATAATAAAGATCTATTAATATCCCAGATCTGAGTTCTTCTTTGTGATCCTTTATTTTGAAGATGTCTGCAAGGATGCTGAAGAATCAAATTGTAAATTAAGATAAAAATAACAGGGAGATTAATTGAATTAAGCGAAAAGCAAGAGAATTCAGAAAAAGGATCCAAGGCATCCAGTTATATTACCTTTGAGTTTCATCAGCAGATTTACTTTTAAGAATTTCATCCACATTTTCTAATGTTAGGTCAACCCTATAAACACAACGAGGGAGGTTGATAATAATGATGATAATGATGGTAATACGATTTCCATAGGAAAATGTCTATAGGGGGCCCATTCTCTCAATGGCGAAGAAAAGCTATTACTTCAAAACTATAGACATCCAGCACTTACCAACACAATACTCTGGGTTTAAATCGTCTCTCCTGGAATCAATATACAGTGTAAATTGTAAAAATATTTAAAATTTCTCATAAAGCACGAGACACTCGAGAAGATGGTGTCAAAGGCCAACTAACAAACTGTCTACATTTACGACGCAAATGTTTTAATTCTAAAGCCTTAAAAATAGGAAAAAATAGAAGTAAAAGTAAAATAATATGATAGATAGCCTGATATGAGACTTACTTTGCTGACAGAGGGCATATTTAGAGTTATAAATAAAGAAAAATCCAAGAAATCCTAGTTTATCCACTTATATTCACAACAAACCGCCATCTTGATTTCCATAGCAACAATGTGAAACCACAGTAATAAGGTACAGCGGATACAAGCTTCAAAACAAGGCCTGGCTACTTAGACTTCCGGTCAAGAAGAGGAAAAACAAAATGGCGGATGACAGCAAAAAGAGAACGAAGTGAATACTTCTTTTGAAAAAATAGCTTTATTGCTATAAGATTATAAAGATGTTTGCTGGATCGGATAATAAGAAGAATGAATCAGTCGTCTCCAAGGCGCAAGCAGCTCGACAGCAGCGAGCAGAGGAAAGAGCGAAAGAAAAAGCAGCTCTAAAAATTCAGGTGTCAAACTTGTCTGGTTTTCGCTGCAGCATAGCTTGAAAAATTCCACTGTAAAACAACAATCTTTGCTTCAATTTTTCACTTATTAGTTTCCAAATGATTTATTCTTAATCAGGCATGGACGAGACGGGTTGTTTGTGTGTCCAAATTAAGAAAACAAATAAGGTAAATAAGTTTAAAAACATCATTTGTTGTTTACATGTATATCGTGATCACCTTACCCTGGCTTCCAGAGGGATTTTTTTCGCGGATTCAGTAAAATGTTAAAGTTTACCTGTAGTTACGATGTTAGATTATTTGAATTTGATTTTCAGGATTTGATTGCAGTTTTTTCAAGCTCATTATTGTATTGTTGTTGGTATTTAAAAGTCTGTCGAGAGTCGCGCGATCATGCAGTGTGTGGTCTTTTCTTATTAGTTGCTAAAAAAGCATTGATCCTAAGGTTAATTCATGTGAATTATCTTGTTTACTAGAGAGGAGTTTGATGCATTTCTTGAGGAAGAGAGTTCTTCATCAAAAACATCAGGTTTGATAGCCTTTTATCCTCTCCCAACTATCTCCCTCCCCCCTAAGGGCAGTACTATTAAAAATCAATATCAATCAGCTAATTGTATTGATCAAAATCCCATCACTGATTGCATGTTGATTTCATCAGAATTGAGTATGCCGGGACTTACAAATAAAGGACATATAAGCCAAGCTTGACACTTTGACAATTTGATGCATGCATAATTATGATTGTAATCTTTTTTATTGTTTTTCAGCAATAACAGTTTTCCACAAGATCAGAAGATTTCTATTTATTTTTCAAGACAAATATGATGCAAAGGTATGAATATAAGATATTTAAATAATCTAATCCATTATAATTACATATTATGTAACTGTTCCTGTTTTCACTAATAGGTCATGTGACCTTACCCCTTTGTTTCAAGGCCTTATGGGTGGCTTAAGTTGCTAATGAGTCTTCTTTCACTGCTGTGAAACCAATGGGTCAGGTTGCTGGATTGAGCCCTGCAGATGCCACATGTGAATATGATGTGTCATTCTCTCAATAGTACCTCAACACTTAAAATATGAAAATGATATTTCTTATGTCAATTGCACTGGTTTACTTTCAGAGATTGGTCTCTTTGTGCAGAATAATATTGTCAAGTATGGAGCAGAACAATCCTAAAGTATGTGGCACTGCATGGTATATATAGTATTAAATTTTTTTTTATTATAGTTATTTTTATTTTCTACTGGACAGGTCTGGTATATATCAGTAGCATTGTCTCAAGATCTGATTCTTCTGTGGATTCAGCAAGTTAAGAATATTCTATGGCACTGCTGTAGATTGATGAGAAAGCTCAAGGTAACCAAAAGCAATAGACCTCTTTAATTACAGCAAGAAAGTGTAATGTTTTCCCATTCCAGTCCATGTGTTATTCCTTAGAGTATAATTTCATGATGAGAAGACATTGGAAGTAGATGGGGAAGGGGGGGGGAGGGGGCCATACACTCTCACTGTTAGTGCCCTTCATTAACTTCTTATGCCCTTCATATGATGCTTTTATGATTCTGAAACATGCACCATATACATAGATACCATTATATGATGTTTTTATTTGATCATTATTAAGATCTTTTATTTATACAGCTATTTCTATAAAGGTGTTGAATACTGAATACTGCATACTGAATAGCGCATTCCAAGACTGAAGTGCATTGTGGGTCATAGTGACATTGTCTAAAGTAGGATTAATAATAATTGTTTATTCTATTTTCAGTGTATTCCATCTGAAACAATATACTAACTACACTAACTACAATATACTAACTACACTAACTACACTTACTAACTACTAACTACATGTAGAGAGTCAATTGCTGTATAAATTATTTACTTTTTATTTCAAATTAACAAGACCACAATGCCCTTTGGTCCTTGAATGCACTATATTCAGTATGCAGTATTCAGTATTCAACCTTTTTTGAAATAGCTGTATATCAGTCTTTTTTTCTATTCTAGCCTCATATTGGAAATGACTCTAAAGAAATCATCATTTATTTAAATATGGTAAGGGAATTATGCTGTGATTCTAATTTAATGTATAAAATTACAAGAGTTTTCTTAAATATGGATTAGCACCCACAACACAATGCTTTTGACGCAAGTTTGAGTTTCAACTTGTATCCCTGGACTCAGACTGAAGAAGCCTTTAAAAATGCAATCCCTGCAATACTGTTGCTTTAATATATCTTAAAATTCCTCATTTCATATTGAGAATTACATTGTATTTTCTAGTTAATAACCTTAACTGACTGTTCAAAATGGAAAATTTTAACTGCTAAAGGAGGTAATCACAACACATTTAATCATTTTTATTCTCAGTATTATTTGTAATAATGTGCTGAACACCTCAGTCTAAAAACACTGTATGTTAATATTAACCATTCCAGGGCTTGATATTTAGCAGCATTTCATGGCCAAATAAAATTTTACTACTGGCAGGTTAAAACAATTTCGAAGTGCCAAATGGAAAATAAAATGGCAGGGGAAATTTTGCTCCACTGAAACAATATAATTAGCTAACTGTCATTTTTTTTTGGTCTACTCAGGTGATGCATTGAAGCCAAGCTTTCAGCAACTGTGCTCCAATATTCTTGGATTTCTGAATACCAAGGGGTTTTACCCAGTGCTGAAGGTATGATATTGTACAATTTGATGTAATTATGCTCCATCTTCTGTCATGATGTATAAATTAAGTGTATAGATCTAATCAAATGTTACTGGTAAACAAAGGAAAATTCTTTTAGGGAATGACACATGGTCTGAAGAAGTCCTTGGTGTCTGCCCTATTGCCATATAGGCATAGAGGATAATGATGACATGGTCTGAAATGGAAAAAACTCTATAACTTACAGTATACCATAAAAGCCCTCAGTATATAATTATTCATAAGGCATTTTCGATAGGCTTATAACCTGGTGTGTGCTACCCTGTGACAGACTTTGTCAGCAGGGTAGTTGGGGGGGGGGGGGGGGGAGTTTATGACCTGAGGGCAAAAGAGTTTGGGATGAAGAGAAAGGGTTTCTTTCTTTCTTTTATTTTCCCAATTGATTGCCAATATGATAAACACAAAAATAATACAAGAGGTGGGCTTATATGACTGGCAGAGGGGATTTAAAAAAAAGATTTTACTGTATATTGGAAGCTACCAATGTATTATTATGAACCATTTTATCTTGAAGGATCTTCTGATGAATGGTCTTGCTCGCTCATCTCCATCTCTCAAAGTAGTTCCCTTAACTGCAGCCACCACCTTGTCTTTGAGGTATGTAAAGATTAACAACCTCTACACAAATGACAATATTGACTATACATGGGAGTACCCTGCACCCCCTCCCCNCCCCGCCCCCACCCCCTCCAGGATGTGTCCAGCTGAAAGTAATTATATTTTCCTATTTTCCGCTCATTTCAGATCGTTGGTGCTCTCTCAGTTTTCTGAAAATCTTTGTAGTTTATTCATACTTAACATTTTATCTGTACCTGGACTTGTTCTTCACCTTTCTTCAATTGCTCCTGAGGTAATTAAAATAGTCCTTGTATGTATCAAATATTTGACACTGTTTTTGCTGTGCTGATTGGTTTAATATGCATTACTGACAAAAGATGCAATACATGTGTATATATTTTTTGATTGATTGATTGATTGATTGAGTTACTTATTCCATTCCATTCAGTCTGTCATTAATTCATTCTATTCATCAAACATTATATTCCATATTCATTCTTTCATTCCCATTTATTTTGTTCATTTTTCCATTCATTTATTTGTTCATGCATTTAAGTTGTTCAACATCTTGTCTATTGTGTGGTATGACAGAATAAAATACCAGGTACTGTACTTCAAACGTTCCCCTGGTCTGTAACAAGCTCAAGAACATCTCCGCACCTGGTCCATTAGTTAAGCATTGACAAAATTTAATGTATTTCTGCAGATGCTGAAAAGATTCCAAAGCATCATGTTGTTCAGTAAAGTGATAGACTTCATGAAGTCAGAACAGAGAAGCAGAATAACATATAACTCCCTTGAATGTGGATACTCCTTGTGTTTACTTGGTAAGAAGAAGGTGTAGAATGATGTAATCATTAGATTAAAAATACATTCAACAAAACCAGACAGAATTAAGAATGCTTGAAATATATCTTCTCATTTTCATTTCATATATTTAGTATTTAAATGTGCATTTTGATGGACTGAGAAAGCGGGCAGTATTTTCTATCTCTGAAATGCTAAACAAACAACAACAACAACAACAACAAAAAACCCAAAAAATTGCAAAACTAAAAATGAATGGAAAAAGGTTTTGTTACTATCCTAGAGTCAGTCCAGATAGGGAAAAACTGTGCCCTTGGCCTTCAAAATAGGACAAGGCCAGATATTCAAGACCTCATGTACAGCTTTTTCCTATCTCGACCTCATGGCTAGGAAGTAACCTTTTTGTCTTCCCATTTCATTATAATATGTGAATTCATTAAATTTCATTATGGTACATGAATTCATTTAAATTTAATTGCACATAATGATTGTTATTCAGAAGAATCTTATTTGACCTCCATGTTTTAAAATCCCTTGCAGCTAACATAGTATCCTTATCACAGCTGGGAGATGAGGTAAGATACAGGCTACTAAATATATTTTTTTCTGTCTTATCACATAGGTTTTGATTCTTAAGAAGCAATCACTAATTGGCAGGGATGGATTCCTTTCCCTGGAATAGAATTTACCATATGATATTTTTTAGTCTGACCCTAATGCTTTCTTGTTTGTTGTTTCAGGCTTTGAAGCAAAATTTAAGAGACTTCATAGTAAGTTGAAATAGTTTTGGTATGTTTCATTAACCCACATGTAATTGAAAGACAACGTTAAATGATAGTCTTGACAAATTCAATTGCAATTGGACCTTTGAACAGCTTTGATGTATTTGTAGTTTTGGTCGTAAAACCGTCCTTTTTCATGAGGGTAGCACTTAGTAGCAAGTGTCTAACAAACCTGTGGCTCTCACTCCCTGATCAAATTGGAATTTAGAAGTAGATTTTTGCGGAGGGAGGAAAACCAGAGAACCCGGAAAACCCTCGAAGCACAGGAGAGAACCAACAAACAACTCTACTCATATACGACACCGAACCCGGTGGGACTCGAGCTTGGGTCACATTGATGAGAGGCGAGTGCTCACACCACTACGCCACCTGTGCTTTCCTATTGTATAGTGGCCGTCTAATAAGTATTATTGCCTCCATTCTTGTTACTTAACTTGAACTACATCCAATCAGTTTTCTCAAACCTTTTTCTATGTATAGGTTGTAGTGTCGAGAGTGCTTCTCTACTGTCAGTCATATGTTGCTAAGAAACAGAGTAGCCTTACTAACTGGCATCCCCTTCTTGGATGGTTTAAACAAAACACTGATCAGAGGTAAGGGAACGAACTTCCAGATTCTTGGAGGCATCTTAAACCTTTTAATTTATCAAGCCCTGATACAACCTCTAGGCTGATCTTAGTCAGGGCATGGCTAACTCACATATTGAATCTTGAATCAACCTCGGGGCTGATCTAAATATAAGTCAGGATATGGCTAACTCACAGACCAAATTGGAATGTTAGGTTTCATGGTGAGAGAAAAACTGCGAACTGGGAGAAAAACCCTTGATTAAAGGGAGGGACCTAGCACTATTAAACTGTATCCACATGTGACCACACCCTTGATTCCCAAACAGGACACGAATAAAGGAATTGTATAAGGACCTCATTAGCCCTTCCAAGGTTGAGAAAAAACTGGATAGAGTTGGCATTGCAGTGCATTGTGGGACTCTTAGGTGGCATGTTTCCAAGATGACGCCTATTTCGTCCCCTTAAACAGTCCCACAATGCACTACAATGCCAACTCCACCCAGTTTTTTTCTCAACTCCGAATAGAATGATAATGTTACACTACGTTTGTAGGTTAAATGATTCGATCCCGCACGTCACCAAGCAGCTACAAATATTATGGCATCGGTCTACCGTACAGTTGTTATTTGAAGACCTCAAAGCTGTTACTGATCTGGATAAAGAAGCGCAGTCCAGGGAACAAAATAGAAAAGGTAAACAAACGATCACTACTCGGTCTTCCATGCAATATCAGGGCACGGCTAACCCACAGATTGAACCCTGAAACAACCTCTGGGCTGATCTAAGTCAGGGCATGGCTAACTCACAGATCAAACCCTGAAACAACCNCAACCTCTGGGCTGATCTAAGTCAGGGCATGGCTAACTCACAGATCAAACCCTGAAACAACCTCTGGGCTGATCTAAGTCAGGGCATGGCTAACTCGCAGATCAAACCCTGAAACAATCTCTGGGCTGATGTAAGTCAGGGCACGGCTAACTCACAGTTTTAGGAGAAAAACACTAGAATCAAGGGAGAGATCCAACCATGAAACTGCTGCTTACATGTGATGTGGAGTCCAGTTATATAAGCCGAACCCAAATGGTAAGAAGCGAGTGCACTATAAACGGTACCCATGATGCTAATGTTGATCTTGTGATTTAGATCCTGGTTGTGGCTAAACAGTATAGATTTTATTTCATTATTCAGATTCGAAGTCCCTGTGGAGTCTGTTTGGTTCCCTGCAGCGTGGCAACAGATCAAGTATCAAAGTCAGTCAGTCACAAGTCGAACTAGTGTCTAATGTATGTGTCATGTATCAGACGATGGTAACCACTTTCTCTCTGATAAGGCTGGATATATTGACAGGTGAGAATACATACATCCATGATGCACGCACTAGAGAGTAGTTAACTTGTGAGATCTGTGTTAGGTTCAAGACTTACCGAACCGCGACCGATCCACCAACCAACCAACGGACCGAACCGACCGACCGACTAAACTATCAACCAACCAACCAACCAACGGACTGACTGACCGACCGAACAACCAACAGTCTGACCGACCGACCGACCGACCGACCAACCAACTAACAGTCTGACCGACCGACCGACCAACCAACAGTCTGACCAACCAACCGACCAAACAAAGGACTGACCGACTGACCGACAAACCAACCAACGGACCGACTGACCAACCAACCAACGGACCGACACACCAACTTACCAACGGACCGACCCACCGAAAGCCCAACTAAACAACTAATGTTCTTTCATTCAGGATGACTTCATTTCTTTCTTTCAGGTTTGAGTTATCAGGAAGAGTTTCTCGTGCGTCTTTGGCGGTTTTTCGTGTTGATCGGTAACAATGGCGGACCAGAGCTGGTACTGAACAGCATCACACGATCAGGGGTCAACTGCTCTCACGCTCTACAGTCAACTCTTACACTATTCTTTGACTGTTGTGGCCATCTACTACCGTAAGTGCTTAATATTATACCTTTACATTTATTGATACTCAGCAGGAAACAACCTCTGGGCTTATCTAAGTCAGGGCCGCATGACTAACTCACAGATAGAACCCTGAAACAACCTCTGGGCTTATCTAAGTCAGGGCC